CTGTATATTTCTTCCGATGTCTTCTTTTCGGAGCCAGTTATGCAGACACACTGTTGCTTGCACGATTGATGTAGCAGTTTGTGGCAGAGCAATAATCGGTTTACGATACACTCGCCACTGACTCGCTAAAATACCAAATGTATTCTCGACCATTCTTCTTGCACGACTTAACCGATAGTTATAAATATCCTGCTGCGGAGTCAATCCATTTTTGCCTGGGTAAGATCTAAGCAGATATGGTTTTAAGGGGAAAGCCTCGTCTCCCACAAGAGTGAATGGTAAAATTCGTCCACCTTCAATAGCTGCTGGCTTCGGCACGTTCATACGTTGAGAATCGAAATTTCTCCCTATGACACTGTCTCCAAAAATTCCGCCATCACTTCGTCGGCCGTATGCTCCGATGTCCACAAGTCGGATAATGTAATTTGCATCGCAAATACACAATAGAACAATGCTGTGCGATTGTTTGTAATTGAAATAGGTGGAACCGGCGTTGTTGGGACACTGAAACAATATCGAATGGGTATTTCAAATAATGATAATGCAGTGTAATGAATTTTTAAAGTGAAATTAATATTAGTAAGGCTCCAATAAAAACTATATTAAATTTAGTTTTCAGAACGATACATTTAGGTAAAAATTAATAGAAGACATTAAGGGCTATGTGAGCCGTCACCTGATCTCAGATGAAAAAATTAATTATAGGTATGTTGTGCCCCGATTGCCGAAAGAGGTAACGAGGGCACTCAAGCAGTGTTACTGCAATTAGAATAACACTAGCGTAAGCATATTGCGCGATCGAGCCACAAAAGCCCGACCGCGCAACCTAATTAAATTCTAAGAAGAAGTCAGCAAGGTCTCGACCCGATTACGAATGACCGCAGTCGAGTACCGAGAAGTTGCTGTCAAGTATCGAGAACGCTGACGCCTCGATCATCGGGCTTAAAACCAGAGGAAAGCCCGAGATCGAGGCACTTGTCACTATCGCGTATCCGCTAACGTACTGTACGCGTTAAACACTTGTCCGTCAGGCCTTCGGCCTGCCGTCAACCAATCTTGCGAAACTCAGTTAAATAAAGTTAATCTGTGAGATCCAACGGTGCCTCCTTGAAGTGACCTCCGACCAGCCACATCCCATCAAAGAACCCTTTCGGTTCTCGTCAGAGAACACCTCCGGAGCGAGTAAGAAGGAAAATACACCGCGCACGGAGCGGCGCGGCAACAAAAGTGGTGGCAGCGGTACTGGGATTGTGAACAACTGAGTCGAGAACACTGCCTCAGAGGACCAAGGAACAGCTGAGCAAAGACAACGAGGACTAGCAGAGGACTGCGAACGACACGGACACCCGGTAGCAGCCGAT